ATCATAACTTGTTGTTTAAAGTTTCAAAAATGACTCTAAATTTTCATTTATTAGTTGGCTTTTTACCTAACTCTTCCAACTTGCTTTTAAACTTTGCATTTCAAGAGATCCAATTCCAAATGGTTTAATGAGGATTTATTCTCAAACGTACGATTGTAAAAGCAAGGAAATGAGCGAAAAGCTAATTGTGTTGTTTTCTTTCTTTCTCACTCAAAAAGTATATGTTTTTGTTTCGTTCATGTACAGAACGATTAAGCAAAGTTAAAAAGTTCTGTATGTATATTGTAGAAACTTTTGCGAATTGTTTTGTTAGTATTAATACACTGCTCGTTAATCAATTCCGAAAAATTTTAAAATATATAAATATTCTTTTATAAAATAAATAAAATGTGTGTATGAAACTAAAGAGCCACAGCTCCACATCCAAAGAGCCGCATTTGGCTCGCGAGCCATAGTTTGCCGACCCCTGGACTAGGGGAATAATGGACCGATTTAGTCAATTTTCAAACAACTTCGTCCTTGGGTAAAATTAAATATATCAGCCTATTTGCATCGCATTATCTGGAAAATTTCTTGTAGTTTGATTACAAGTCGGATGGACAAAGTTAAACTACTATAGTGCTGTAGGTTATAATAAACTTTCCTCTTTTTTGATAGGAAGTAGGATCTGGAAGGGTTTGTAACTGACAAAAATTACATTTTTATAATTCATTTTCCAAAAAAATGTTTTCGACGGTTTTTCCTGGCAAATTAATTATTTGTTGTGAGAACGGTTGATAATGAATATATGAACATTTTTAAATATCTATAAAATAGCTATTTATGCATAAAAGTGAGCATTTCAAAAGCCTATATTTCATATAACTAAAATCTCTTTATTATTGTATAGCCACAATTTCAGATTTTGGGGAAGGATCCGAGATATCAGAAGTCCGGCATAGAATGTTACGTCTAATTTAAAAATCGTCTAAGGATGAAATGTAGCTACAGCCAAGCCATAAATATTGATATATCATATGTAACGATCGGACTTAAAATGACGACGTAATATATAAAAAACAACAAGTAAGAGTGTTATATTCGGCTGTGCCGAATCTCATATACCCACCATCAAACCGTATGCCGTAAAAGGAATGCTCCCCTATAAACATCAGCGTGATATTTGGAATATGGCTTAAGTCAATTATGGCCCGAGCTCTTTTGAACTAACAAAATATTAATTAAAAAAAAATATTTTATTTTAATTCTTAAACCGTGAGCGTCAATTATGAACCGATACTCATAAAATTTTGTACATTCAGGGCTATACTATTTTAAATAAGGAACACTCGTAGTTTATTAGCCAAAACTCTTTCCTGAAGGGAATCTTTTGTGTATTACCGACACATTCCGCATGAAATTCGGAGCGAATTTCATAACCATATTTGATAACTCATATTTTTAAGCCAGTAATGATAGTTTAAGTAATTTTCTGAAGGGGACCTTATATAGGCGGTAGGGTAAATTATATACCGATCCTCCCTTTGGTGGAGAGATTAAACTTTTCGTCACATTCATATTTTTAAGCCAGTAATGAGCATTGTAGTTATTTGCAGAGGGGGACCTTAATTTGGGGATGGGTCATTTATGAGCCGATCCAAAAAAATTGGTACACAGGTTTTGGCTCGTAAGAAACTTACGTGTGTAAGGACCCAATAGGGGGAGTAGGGCCAATTACGGACCTATCCACATCAAAGTTATTAAAAAGATTTCGGCTCGCGAGGAACTTTATTGTGTAAAATTTTATTGCTATATTCGTATTTTTTAGCCAATAATGAGCGTTAAAGTCATTGTCAGAAGGGGACCTTATATGGGGGATAAGGTCATTTATGGGCCGATCTTATAAAAAATTCGTAGAGCGATTTTGGTTCGTAAGAAACTTCCTTATACCGAATTTCATCGCTATACTCGCATTTTTGGACCAGTAATGAGTGTTCAAGTAATTTTCTAAAGGGGACCTTATATGGGGGGTAGGGTCAATTATGGACCGATCATTAAAAAAATTTGGTAGAAAGATTTTGGCTCATATGAAACTTATTTATGTCGAATTTCATCGCTATACTTGCATTTTGGTGCCAGTAATGAGTGTTAGTCATTTTCAGGAGGGGACCTTATATGGGGGGTAGGGTCATTTATGGGCCGATCCTAAAAAAATTGGTTAAAAGGTTTTGGTTCGTAAGAAACTTACTTATACTGAATTTCATCGCTATACTCGAATTTTTAGGCTAGTAATGAGTGTTAAAGTCATTTTCTAAAGGGGACCTTATATGAGGGGTAGGATCATTTATGGGCCGATCCTAAAAAAAATTGGTAGAGAGATTTTGGTTCGTAAGAAACATACTTATACCGAATTTCATCGCTATACTTGCATTTTGGGACCAGTAATGAGTGTTAAAGTAATTTTCAGAAGGGACCTTATATGGGTGGTAGGGTCATTTATGGGCCGATCCTCAAAAAATTTGACAGAAAGATTTTGGTTCATATGAAACTTATTTATGTCGAATTTCATCGCTATACTTGTACTTCTAAAGCTGTTATGCCCGTTAAAGCTGTTTTTTGGAGGTCCACTTGTATGGGGGCTATCCGAAAAAGTGGACCGATATTGCCCATTTTCAATACCAAACAAACCTTAACAATAGAGAATATTTGTACAAAAATTCAACTGTCTAGCTCCTCTCGTGTGGTCCCTATCGTGATTTCAACAGACAGACGGACGGACATGGCTAGATCGTCTTAGAATTTAATAAGGACCCGGAATATATATACTTTTATGGGTCTATGACCAATATTTCGATGTGTTACAAACGGAATGACAAAATCAATATACCCCCATCTTTTTTGATGGTGGGTATAAAAAGGGCGGTATTTCTAGGCGTGGCAAAAAAATAATTTTTATATTTTTGGAAATGTTTTTAACATATCTTTAATCCTAGGGGGTGACTGACACAACTTTTTTTTGTCCATAGAGACCGACCCACTCTAATGTACACGTTGTTTACATTCAAGTATCTTTATTGAAGTATAAAAGAGGAATGAATAAAGAAAAAATAACATAAAGTAATATAAAGAAAATACAAAAAGAAAGAATATTTGACAGTTCATTATTATAACAAAACATTCATTATAAAAACAAACATTACACTGTGATACAAAAGTGAAGTAAAATAAAATGCAGGCGTTCTCATATACCAATTCTATTTCGTTATAGTCCATAGAGTACGAATATATTTTTAGTTTTCCCCTATCACTTCGTTAACTCACTTTTTAAGAGCAAAAGATGCGAAAAAGAGCCATTTTTGAAGTTTTAAATTTGAAAAATCATGAGTTTAGTAGTTTTCATCCGTTTTTCAAATTCCATATTTTTTTAATGATACAAGTGTTGCCTTTTAATCCAAAAAAAGAAATCCAAAATTTATGGTCAAACGTCTGAGTTACGGTCGTTTAAGTAAAAAAACTCACACTTTTTTAAAAAAATTTCATTTTTATCATGCTCTACTTTGGCCATGAGGCAGTGAGTTCATCTTTTATTACTTTCCTGAAGAATCACATAAAGGAAGGTTTCTAAAACTTGTTATTTCATAAAAATCTATGAAAAACTGGATGATTTATGCCAATTTTTGGTTTTCTCCATACAAATTAATTTTTGTATAAAAATGTTGATAAACATTTTTTAAACTTGTTACAAAGAAAACCAGAAACGTGAACGTTTTTGTATGGAAGAAATATGCAATATTTTTATAAAACTTAGCAGAACTCATAACCTTTTTCATCGATTATTATAAATTGACCATCATTGGAAACCCAACTTAATGTGCCTTTTTTCAAATGTAATAAAAGCTAAAGTTACTGCTTCATGGCCAACGTAGAGCAGTATGAAAATTAAAAATTGTGAAAAAAGTGTGAGTTTTTTTACTTAAATGGCCGTAACCAAGACATTAATCATAAATTTTGGAAACATATATTTGTTTAAAGTTAAAACTTCAAAAATAGCTCTTTTTCACATCTTTTGCTCTTAAAAAGGAACTAAACGAAGTGATCGGGAAAAATTAAAAATATATTCCTACTCTATGGACTATAACGAAATGGAATTGGTATATGAGAACCCCAGCATTTTTTTTGCTGTATCACTGTGTTATGCTCCTGCATAATCATATTAATTCAGTATTTTACATTATTGCTGATTAATATTAAATATTACAAACTTATTTATTGCTTTATTTTAACTGCTACAATTCTTGGAATTGAGGAAATGGACTTGGGTTACATTTTTATTTATTGCTTAAAATGTTATTTATAAAATCATCAGTTACGGTTGTCTTAACAGAAGTGTTTGTGTTGTTGTTTGTTTAACTCGCATGCTATTTTTATTTCCAATCCGATATCAAAGATTTCATATTTGGGAATGCGCTCGGCTATGTTTTTAAAAAAACATGCTTCTGTCTGCTATTTATATGTTATAATTTCCTTCTTATAAAACATACATTAAAGCATAATTTTTGGGTGCATAAAATTAACTTCTGCTTAATTAACATATTTATGGCTCTTTAAGCTTTATTCCGGATGGGGGCTAGGTGAAATCGTGGACCGATATTTCTCATATTCAATACCAAACAAACCTTATCAATAGAAAATTTCTCAACCTTCACCCGTGTGACCGCTGAATATACCACCATATTTGTTGATGGTTGCGGTCAAAAAATTGCGTTTGGTCGGAAAAACTTATTATCAATATTTTAAATTTTAGTATTAATATATTAGAGTGCAATGAATTTTCAATCAATCAACCTTATGTTTAAAATGCTGAAATCAACTCTTAAGCTGTGTATGTCAAAAATTAATTGGCAGTATTATGTATTTAGTAAATGTTTCAATGTAACATATTCTTTTCAATGATGTATACAGCACATAACTATGTACAGATTTTTATTTTAGTGTTAGTTTTTACTTATCGTTATTCATTTGACTTAAAAAATTAAAAATATAACATGAAAATTTTAACAAATAATGACATGATACAATAAAAATGCATAATTTGCATCCAAAATGTTTTTAATTCGTATTTTTTTATATTTATTTTTATACAATAATATTGCCGAATGCAAATTACTAACAAAGTGTAATGACGATTTTACAATTAAGAAGCCTCAAAATCGCACAAGCAAATTTCTTTTCGATGCAATATTCCGAATTGGTTCTGGAATTTCAAATGTTTTCGGAGATAGTATAGACGAGGAAACCGATTATGAAGACATAAATATAAAAACTTGTGACTGTGGTAAGTTTATACTAATTTGTCATTTAATTTACAATCAGTGTATGTATTATTAATGTTGTATTAAAATGCACTTTTATTTAATATATTTACAATTAAAATGGGAATTGTATGACTTTCGTTATAAAATGTAGAACACTACAAAAAAATAAAGAAGTTATATTTTTTAGATCCAAAACATATCTTACTTTAAGAAAATGTATGTTTTTTATATATGTGGACAATATAATAGGTGTAAATTTTTAATTAAGATAACAAAACGTATTATGTCCTGAATAATTGATCATTTCTGACTGATAGCTAAATGTTATCCATTGTCTTGTTAAAATCTATATTCTAGTAATTTGATTTGTGATAGTGGGTAATACAGAAACCGAAATTAATATACATACATATGTCTGTTTACAGGTTAAACCTTAATTGTTGAATTAATAAATACTTATTTTTATTAAATACTAGCTATTCCCAGTGTGCTTTGCTACCCTAAAAGCAATATAAATAAAAAACTTCTTAATAATTTTGAAGATTCTAACTGTAATGTTTTCCAGAGATACAATTTTTCAGAACGTTAATTAAGATTTTAATGTAATCGATGACAAATTTAAAAATAAATCTAATATTTTCCCAGATATACGAAATTTTGTATTTAATTCATATAGGGGGTGCCAAGACCCCACTGAAAGTCCGCCCGTTATTCTCTAAATGTTCACATGAATGTCAAAGATCTTCATGTAGAATTTGAAGATTCTAGCTCTAATAGTTTCTCAGATATACGAATTTTTCTATTTAATTCATATGGGGGCTCCAAGCCCCCCCATGACGAAAGTCCGCTCTTTTTTCTCCAAAATGTTCAGATGAATATTTAAGTTCTTAGTGCAAAATTTGAAGAATTTAGTTCAATTAGTTTCCCAGATAAACTAATTTTTGTATTGTATTAATATGGAAGGTGCTGCTCCCCTCATGGATAGTCCGCCAATTTATTTCCCAAAATGTTTACATGGATTTTAAAGTTACTCGTGCAAATTTTTAGTATTCTAACTGTAATAGTTTCCAAGATAAACGAATTTTTGTATTTAATCTATATGGGAGGTGTCACGCCCCCTAATGCTATTCCGCCCACTTTTTGTCTTAAATAATTATATTGATACTAAAGTTGCTCCGACAAAATTTGAAGACTCTAGCTGTTATATTATCTTAGATATACTAATTTAATATTTTCTTAATATGGGCGTGGAACGTTTAGCCGTTTAGCAGTCTATAAAGCACAAACAAACAAACATACATACAAACACACTTTAATTTTTATTTATATAGATTTTTGTGCGAAATCGACGAGAATCTTTACAAGTTTTGTCATTCAAGTTTTTTTTTTTTAATTTTATGTCGGAAACAAAACCTAATAATATTTGATTTTAAAATAAAATTTAAAAATTATAATTTTAATATTACAAATTAAAAAACTTTTAACGATAATTATTTAATTCTATGACAATACCAATTGAAATATCAGCTTAGAAGCTTTGAATACCATTGGAAGAAATGTATCAAACTTTGTCGTCTGAAATTTGTTTTTTTGATCAAATATAACCAGATATATAAAATAGATGTTAATGTGTTTCTCATCTAAACTTCAACTATATTTGGTGTCAAGAATTGTGCCAAGATACTTAACTTTATAAACATTTTTGAAAAGATCTGCTTATGATTTTTATTTTTAAAAGCAAAACAATAAATCGCAAATGTAAATACACTTTTAGGACACACATACACACATACTTTCTTCAGAAATCATAGCAAACAACACACTCTCATATAAGTAAGAGAAAAAAGGAGTACAAAAACCAAGTGCTCAGCCAAAATCATAAGTAACAAAACAAAAGTAGTAAAGGTTATACTAAACCATTTAAGTAAAAATCATTTCATCACTGTTATGCTGAGTGATTAATTTTGAAAAACAAAAATAAATCACAATTCAATCACTTTGGTTATGTGCCCCAGTTATTTTCAGTCTCTTGTTATATCTGCAGTGAAAATGTTGTGAAATGTGTGAAAAGGAAGACCCGTTTATATTTGTTCGTTGAGAGTAGACTGAACATAAATTAACTTTAAAGGACCAGTTGTTGAACGACCTCTTTATAAATATAGTAACTTTTAATTAATATTAAAAGTAGCTAAAGTAGCAAACTTGTAATTATTTTTAGCCAGAAAAGCTGTAGTTAAAAACTCAAAGCTAACAACTGTGTTTTTTTCGAAATTTATATCTATAACCATAGAATATTGCCGTAGAATCCCAACTCTCCCGGAAAAAAATCTAACTCAGCTGTCATAAAAACCTAACTCTAAATATGTATTAGTAAGATTTTCTTTAGAAGTGTTAGTGTATAAAAGCTTTTTACCACACATAAAATGGCAACATAGTTGCATAAAATCGGTCGAAATAAAAGTACAATGTTTTTATTGCATTAATTTTCTTAAATTATTACATTTTAAATTGTAGATTGCGTTTATAAAAGCATGATAATATTTTTCATGCATTCTATATTTGTTAAAATGTAAAATTCTTTAATTTTTTCGATTTTCATAAATTTGTTTACTACTAAAAATGCTACTCTGCACCTTCAATTTGAAATTAGAAAAACAATAAATGTAATGTCAAATAGTTAAAAAAATAATTTTTTGGTTTGTAAAAATTAAAAAGATCTTGATAAAGAAAATATATTAAAATAATTTTAAAAATAAATAATGTGTGTTATAAAAATTGTGTACAAATCATTTTTTGTGCGAATTTTGGATTTGAAATATATATTTGTTGTTATAGTTTTTTGTTGAACTCACACAGAACATGGAAGCTTTAAGGTGGTATTAGACGACATGTATTTTACATATGTACTGTCACTTTTTTTATCCATATGTAATTCCGAATGTATGTCAAAATTGTTATTTTACATACGATTCATAATTTTTGATATCACACCTGCCTGTGTTTTTCCTTATGACATAACCTATAATGTAATCAAAGCTGTCTTTTTAATATGTAAAAATTTTTAAAATTATAAATTAGTTTATTAAAAATTAAAATATACTTACTTTTCCTGTTCATTTTTTTTTTAATTTACTTTTTTCAAAAAATGTTATTTCAAAGCAAAACAGCTGTCTTGTTTATGTTTTTCATACGAAAATGGAGCACGCTCTAATCGAAAAAATTACATATGTATTTTACATATGCAATTTTTCATATCTATCAGACAATATGTACAACTATTACAGATGGAAATTTTGACAGTACCTTTAGTTAGCAATCTATGTGTATTATCTATGTCTATAACTATAAAAACTTCGAATGAAACAGTATGACTGCTTAACACGAATTATTTAGCAGCAATTAAATTTTTGTTTAGTTTGGACAAATTTGAAAAATTTTTTCCAATTTGCTTTGAAATTTTGTATCTGGCAATTAAATTTTTCTTATCAAATTCACAAACCATCACAGGGTGTATATATGTATTTTGAAAACTTGGGAGCATTGTTATCTACACAGAACCAAAAATTTACCTAAAATGGGGTGTAAATATGAAGAAATTTTGTTATTATACAGCCAACGAAAATTTTATTCCATATTACAGATTTGTTCGTTAATTTTTTGTATTTTAGTAAATTTTTTCATATTTACTAATATCGTTTCGTTGTTTAAGGGTGTTAGTTAAATTAACTAATATTTTTTATTCCTTATAACTAATTGAGGTAGTTAATTTGAATATATTTTTTACTTGTTTTTGAAGAAATTTCTTCAATTTAACTAATGAATTTAGTTCTCGTTAATAATATTTTTATTAATAATGAAGAATTTTTCTTCATTTTTACTACCACATTTTAGTTTATTTCTAAATCCCAGTAAACATTTTCTTTCATTATCTGAGACAATGTTTATATAAATTCAAACAGTAAAGTATTTTTTAACTTGTATTTTTTTTTAATTCTTGTAATTATACCCTTCACCATCGTGAGAAGGGTATATATAAGTTTGTCATTCCGTTTGTAATTTCTATAATATAATTTTCCGTTAGGCATGCTTTCGAGAAGATCGCTATTTAAAATTTGCAAAATCGGTCCATAAATACCGGAGATATGAGCAAAAATCCGAGACAACCTCTGAAAATTTCATAAAAAAGACAATTTTTTCATGCTTTGATATACGCAACAACAACAACACTGCTTATTCATTTAGTATTTCGTTTCATGTGTTTGGGTGGCTGTGTGTTTCATTGCCTTGTGTATATTGTTTTTGTTTCTTGGTGCATTCAGTTTCGTATGTTTGGATGTCTGTTGGTTTCATTGCGTTGTGTATTTTGTTTTTGCTTTTTTTTGGAGTATTTCGTTTCGTATGTTTCATTGCCTTGTGTATATTGTTTTTGTTTTTTGGTGTATTCAGTTTCGTATGTTTGGATGTCTGTTGGTTTCATTGCGTTGTCTATTTTGTTTTTGTTTTTTGTGTATTTCGTTTCGTATGTTTGGATGTCTGTTGTTTTTACCAGTGTTTACTTTTACTAATATATTAGTCAGCATTTGCCGCAAAATACACATTTTTATCACTCGTCATACTAAAAATATTTAAACTTTTTCAGATTTAAATAGCATTGCTACTAAATATTGCCGTTCTGTTTTTATGTTTAACTAGAAAAATTGCGACGTTACACTGCAATCTCTAGCAGCACGAATGAACAGTATTAATCTCTTGTTTGTTGTACAAGAAAAAAATATATTTTTGTGCTATAGCAGCGCACACTCAAATCTGTTAAACTAATATGGCTAGTATTGATGATATTTTTATTTGCGCTGAGTTTTTTCTAGTAGCAATTAAATTTTGTTTTGCAACTGCTAGCTGCAAATTTATTTATTGTTTTTTTATATTTTATTTTATGAATAAACAGTTATACCAGTGTTACCACAATCTCTAATTAAGGATAATTATTTTTCGCAACATAAAAAATAGTTTGTAAAATATA